CCCTTAACGGTAAGAAAATTGAAAAAAAACGGTCTGGTCGCTAAGGGGTTAATGTTGAGGATGATCAGTGTTTTTTGTTTTTGTTTATTGCATCCATTTTTTCTCTTTTTTTCTTTTGCTGGAATAATCACTTATTGTTTTGCAACACTGGTGTATATAATTTTATCTAGCATTAATACTTCATGGTTTATTTTAGTAGGGAAGACCCTCTTTGCATTTGGAACCATGAATGTTTTATTGTGCTGTTTTGAGCACCACGCCACCATGGCCTGTGTTTGTTTCTCTACCATCTGTATTTTGTCAGCACTGAAGAAAAGGTTCTGGTGGTTGGACATCATGACCCTGTCACCGTTGCAGCATTTCAGAATCTCTTTAAATGAGCACAGAATAATGGAACAGTTGCTGGAATAACTGAAATTTTTCCACAGGATGTCTGGAATGCCATGGATGGAAATATTAGCTATTTTGACTATATACAATGTATTGCAAGTAATCTACTGGGGTAATCCACCAAATATATGAAATTCATTGATACAGAGACTAGCATACATGGTTTTAAAGGACCACTCCAATCTGATAAAGGACTTCAGCTTCTTGAAGTGATTTAGGGATTAACTAGCAATCCCTTTCTTTTTTTTTTTTTTTTACTTGCATTATAAAAGTGTTTTCAAGAAAAATCAGCACTTTTATAAAACTCATTAGTTCCGGCTGTCAATGATACAGTCAGGATGGTCAGTGGAAATGAGGGCTTCTCTAGAGAAGCATTAGATTCTGTGCTTCACTATAACAAATATAATTTTGGCAGAGCACCGCAAAAGCTGGCTATGTGCTAATAGTATTGATGGTATCAGATGGGGCTGAGCAGAGCTGTGGCTGGAAGACCATCTTTTTGCTGAAAAATATGCTGAGTAACTTTTTTCTTTTTGTTTTGTATTATTAAAACAGTGGGGGCCCTAAATTAAGATAGGAGAATTCCAACATTTATTTTTAGCGTTTAGGTGTTTCTTTAACAAAGGCTGCAAGGATGGTATTTCATTTGAGATATATATATATATATATATATATATATATATATATATATATATGTGTGTGTGTATATGTGTGTATATATATGTGTGTATATATAAATGTGTATATATATGTACATAAGCCATTTTTTTGTTAGCACCCACATTTTCATCCCCTCTAGTTTGTAATACTCGTATTAACCAATACTTATTCTTGCACAGGTACAAATGGCAGTGGATGTGAAGTTTGCACAGGATACTCTGAAAGGTGACAGCGTTACAGAAATCCGAATGAAATTTATCCGAAGGATTGAGGATAACTTGCCTGCTGGGGAGGAATGACTCTGAAACCACCCAGAAATTTCAGGAGTATTCCACTTAATACGTGTCTCTTCCCTGCTCTGAGAGAAGGTTCCATGTTCGTACTGGGGCCAGAGATTAAATCCTTAGGCAATGTTTTTGCATTTTTTATTTTTTATTCTTCTTCTTACCAAAATAATTTTCTTACTAAATCCCTCACAACTAGCTATGAAGTCTCCATTTATAGTGTTTTTTTTCTTTTTCGTTCTTTTTATTTTTAATGCCATTGGAATGTGTGAAAATTGCAGAAATGACTGCATCATTCTGGATTATTTAATCAATATTTCCTAGGTAATCTCTAAGCCAACTGAAAGAAAACCATACGTGTTTCTTTGCTCTTTTAAACTAGGCAATTTTTGGGGAAGAAAAAGTGTTTTGTTTATTTAACATAACCATCTAGGCAGTCTGATTCATCGCAATAGTTCCCAGGATGTTTTTACCTTTGAAACTCCAAATAGGTAAAGTAGTTTTAAATTTGATCTCTAGTAGATAGTCAAAGCCATCTTGGATGAAACTGCAGACATATTGAATATTAAGAGATCAGTATATATTTCATTAAAAAAAAAAAATCTATAACTGTTCTATACATTCTAAGATGAGCTTAAATTTTTACTGCTCACTTATTTACTTTTCCATGATAGATGGAGTTATAGATTTTTTTTTTTTTTTATAGCTGGTGATTAGCAGGAACCAAGAGGCTGGCACAAATATTTAAAATTAACTGGTTTATTGAAGGGGGGCAGGATTGCTGAAATAACCTGTTTCTGATTTGACTGCTCCTTTTGATTTCCATCGACTGCATTGATGCTGTCTTCTTTTATTTTGTCTGTTTGCATTATAAATATTAAATGGTATTGGTATATTTGGAATAAATAACTTAAAAGACTGTCACTCTGATCACAATTACATATATTCTGTTTTATATTCATCATTTTATTGCATTTGCTATTAACACATGTCTATATTTGTTTGTAAGAAATACAAGAGAGAACAAGTGTGTATAAAAACGCAATCTTAGTCTGTCCTGCTTGAAACCACAGTAGATATAAATATGTAGCATCATTTAAATGTGAAGTATCCTACAATTGCTTTAATGCTGCCTTCAGGACAGAGAAAATTCTGGGTCTAGTAAAGTTGATGGCAGGAACCGCACTCATTCCCAGCGGCCACGGGTGCTCCGGAGCAGGACCAGCAATCCCAACACGATAAGGCAAACAAAAAAACTCACAGGCACCCCAAGTGTAAAGCCGCAGGCAGGTTTATTGCAACAAAATGCACCGCAACGTTTCGACCTGACTAGACCTCTAGTCAGGTCGAAACATTCGGTGCATTTTGTTGCAATAAACCTGCCTGTGGCTTTACACTTGGAGTGCCTGTGAGTTTTTTTGTTTGCATGGGTCTAGTAAAGACACATTTGTTTCAGTTAACACATTGACAGCAAAATGTTTTTTAAAGAATCTCACCCCATACATATATTGCTGCTCCTGTGCCTATGTTAACCTGCACTTCACTTGTAATACCTACTAAAACATGGTTAGTGAACAAAAATAACTTTATTAACCCTTTAAGGACGGCGGGTATGCTATACCATCCTGAAAAGGGTGGGCATTAACACCACAGGGCGGGGGAGCACGCCCAGCCATCCGCTGCCGCTCTGTACTCAACTACAGTGCCGATCGCAGGCAGTCATTCTGCAACAACTCTGGTCTGTGATTCTGCAATAGCAGGCATAAAAATTCAAATAATGTGATATATATATCAATTTAATGTATTTGTGTTATTTTTACATAATTATGTGATTTTTGTGCCTGGGTTGTCAGGGACCTGTCTGACAACCCAGGCAGAAAGTCCAGATAATTTAATTTGCAAGCCCTGTTTTTAACCCTATAACTTTCCAGAACAGTCTAAAACCTGTACATGGGGGGGTACTGTTGTACTTGGGAGACTTCACTGAACACAAGTGTGATTGTTTTAAAACCGTAAAACATATAATGAGGATGATCTCATCAGTGAAACTGCAGTTTTTGTGTGAAAAGAAAAAAAAATAGCATTTACACGGTTTGTGACTGACTGGCTACTAAAAAAGATTGAACGTGCCATTTTGAATACCTTGCGTTGTCTACTTTTGCAAATAGTATGCCATGACGTAATTCTCATTCCTAAGTTACCATACAGACTCAAAGGCAACATAACCAGTCTGGCAAATTTCAATGTATAAAAATATACAAGGGGAAAAGCACTTCACAAAACCTGTACATGGGGAGTACCGTTGTACCCATGAGACATCGCAGAAACCAGATATGTGTATTTTATTGCAGTAAAAGCCAACAGTAGTATGACATTTACAGTTAAAATGCCATCCAGGACTTGGGAAATAAGAAAATGTTTTGATTTCTCAATTTTAGATTTTATTCATACAAAATTGTTTCATATATAAATACTTGATGTGAAATGAAAGCCCTGTTTCTTCTGAACAAAATGAAATATAATAAGTGTGAGTGCACTTAATATATGAAAGGGGTAAACTTAATTGAACAACATATAGCTCAAATTCTAGGGTTTGTTTACATTTTGTTTTGATCAGAACTTGTACAATTGTCTCCGTCTTTAAGTGGTTAATATGCACTAAAGACTTTCTATATAAAATGATAACTGATAAAATCTTATTACATTTTTTTTTTATCGTAATCTAAAATGGGGCAGTTTTCTTGAAAATTTTCAGTTAATAAGACTACTAAATTTCTGTCTGAAACAGTGGTAGAAATGTTTATAAATCAGTTGTGTTAGCCAAAACATGTCACATAATTAAAAAAATCCTGGTTTGGCAGGAAAAAAAGCAATGGATTTTAAAAATGACAACTTTAATAAACTGCACAAACAATTAACTGAAAATTAGATCTAAAACTGTTGGCGACCGTTTAATAAATCTCTATAGTTCTCAGTTCTGATGTAGCTGTGTGACGGACCACTTGGCACCCGACTGGGTACCTCTGTCAAGCTCGCTTCCTAGCTCTCCTCTGAGACACAGGAGTGCTTCAGCCCCTAGCCGCCACAGCTTGGCTGGGGTCTCTGTCGTTTCCCGCCCTGGAACAGGGTCCTGGTACAGCTTCAAGAGATTAAGTTCTGCTACAGAGAGTATAGCTGATCCACACAAACACTAGTCCAGTCTGAGTGAAGGGTAAAAAGTAACATGGTTTATTTATAGCCAAGTTGCCTGCTTATATACACATCCTCCAGCAGGGGTCTCCACAAAATACAATGCCACCCCCTCCCAAGGATCTCTGTGCTTGGGAGATAATTGAGTTAAAGAATGGTAAACTAATTATCTCCCAGGAACAGAGAGGCAAACACAAAACCATAAAACATAACAATACCCCAGAACATCATAAAAATACACAGTAACCCATGTGTATCATACATCCCCAAATAGCCCTGATCTGAGTGCCCAAGTTCTCCAAATAGCGCTCAGATCCATGCACTGTAGGGGAAACGCCACCGGGCAGTTGGTGCTTTTGCCAGTCAACTTTCAGGAGCTTCTGTGGCCTGGCAATCAGGTAGCGCTTGACCTTAGTCTCAGACACCTTCTCTACAAAAACTGCCCTCCTGGTGGGTTGCAAAGTTTTGAACCGGCCAAAAGCAGTTCCATAACATTCATGTCTAAGTACCGCAGAGGTGACCGGGGACCCACGAAGTCCTTGTGTCGAAATTAGCGGTTGCGGTTAAATGCCAATGAGGACCATTCAAAGGTTTGGTTCATGCGAACGGCCGGCAGGGAGCTTGTGTTCGGTTCCATTTGAATGAAGGGAAAGTGCAGAACCATGGGCATCCAGGGAAAGCTGAAAATAGCGGATGGGCAGTGTAACCCCGAACGAGGTCTCCGACCTGGACCATAGTCGGTGGGTAAGGGGGCCAGCTTTCACACTCCTCCAGGAGTTTGTGGCAAACGTTTGTGGGAAGGAGCTTTTGTCATAAGCCGTTTATGACATCTTCACTAACCCTCCCTCTTATATCAAATATTGACAGCGATATTGATCTGGCACCATGTACATGACCTTTAAGAAGGAAGGCCTTTAATTACTTTTGAAGTTGAAATGTATGGATTTTTATTGTTCAATTTTGAAGTCCAGTACTCTATGCTACTTTTAGTGTAAGCCTTCTGAAAAAATCAAATAAACTACACTTGAACAAAGCAAATTAACCTCGCACAGAACCCCCTCAGTGGCGCATGGGTTATTTTCATGGCTGAAATTCTGCCAAACCGATCCTTACATTAACAAGCGTCTATTTACAAAACCTTGTTCAGAAGAATCGAACAAATTATGCTTTGTTCAAGAGTAGTTTATTTGATTTTTTTTTTTTTTTTTTGGAGGCTAGCGGAGATTGCTATCCATCAACCACATGAATATTTATTTTAAAAAGCCTATGGTTATCAATATGACACCCAGATTAGTGTATGGGATGTATAAAATCCTCATTGTCACGATCTGTGGCAAGGCCAAATGCATACAATATCTGTTGGGGAGGTTGGGGAATAAATATATAACTTATTTTTAACTTTTTTTTTTTTAGAGGTCTTCCTCTTTCTTTTTTTTCTTAAATCTTCTTTTTCATCCCTACAACAATCCAAATAAAAAATAAAAAATAATCAAACTATTAAATAAAAAACTGATTTTCTCAAAAAATGGGCCACATGTTTGAGCTTTAGTTCAGGAAAGGGTGTCCCAATCCATTGGTGGGAGGTTCTATATTTATAAGGGGAGAGTACAGGCTGTTCATCCCCTTACAACAAATGGAGTGGCTGGACATGCTCCCCTCACCCAAATAGTGGGGGTCCCCAATACATCTAATATCTGTTAAAAAAATTAATCTATATATTTATATTTTATATATAATTTGCCTTTTAGATGTCATCTATTTATGACCGCCAAAGCTCCAAGGCAGTTTTTAACTCTTTGGCTGCTTGGCAATTGGCTATTTAGTTTGCTTTGGGATTATTGGTATGTGGCAGCTCAGAATTCTTTTTTTGGGGGGAAACCAGCTGATCAGCCCAAATTCAGCTGAAACACAATCCTGTTTGAAACCAAATCTCAAAGTCTAAAAGAAAGTTTTATATAGGATACATGACTTACCTATAGACTATTTCCAAACCGAACTGTACTTTTTACCAGAAGGAAGAGACTATGGTTTGGGTTGTTTTAGCTGTCTACTAATACTCTAGTGCTAGAAATCCATTATTTGAATGAGAATAATGTATTCAAATAGGTACAACATAGAAAGGGGTTTATTATATTTCAAAATATAACAAACTGAAAACCCAACACAAAATTTAGGAAAGCAGTCTTTAAGAATTTTCCCAAATCGACTGTTGTTGCCTAAATATATCATTCAGGTTTTCAATTCCTTGCATTTCAGAGTTTAGAGACTAAACACCAACATATGTCATGCTACTGTTGTATGAAATAAATTACTTCTGCATAAATATCCTTACATATAATGTGCCAATTCTTTATCACTGTTAATCCTGTTAATATAATTATATCCAAAGAAACCTAATTAACAGAAAATCCTTTATATGTATTGATTCAGTAAATGTGAGAAGGGACAGCCTGGTTGAATATACATATAGTGTAATTGCTTTTTTTATTTTATTTTTTTTACTGCAAATTAATGTCATGTTGGGCACAGAGGTTAAACACACATACTCTCCTGTTATAGCTATTTCTAGATTTAATTAATGAAGAATATTTCACTGGATACAACCCAGTTAAAAGGTTGGGCTACCTTCAGATATTCAAAATATACACAAGAGCGTAGCACAGACCTGAACAAGTATGTACTGTATAATAATTGAGGGATCATGTGCATGTCGTATGACCTTAATATATACACAGATGCACAAAAAAAAAACTTGAGCAGATATTACCCCAGTTCACTTGGGTACTGTTATCATTTTCAGCAGCTTTATATAATAAAAAAAAATTACCCAGTAATTACAATTTTGTCTTAGAAAAGTTAGAATAATTGTCTACCCAGATTTAAAAAATAAATAAATTAAATCAAATATCTGCCATCTTAGGAAACAATAATGAATTTGAAAGCAATTTATTTAATAAAAGGAAATCAATGAGGAAGCAGTTTTGTAATGTATGTCAACCTGAACTAATGTTATTATAGGGTACTAAACACTATATACAGTATCAGACCCAGTAAAGACAAGTTCATAGCATACATTGTTAAGCTAGTTGGGAGGTGTGACATCTGAGATCTACATTTAGAATAGTACAGTTCTAAGATAAAACAAGGTTTAAAAATAGAGAAAACTTATGACAAACTTACCGTAATTTTCTTTTCCTGGCTATTTCTCATGGCAGCATCACTTATAGGTAGCTCCTCCCTTAACAGTCACAGGACAGGACTTAATTAGATTCATTAATTAGACTGATAGGTATAAAGAGTCCCTCCTCCTCTTACACCTCAGTCCAATTATAAAGCTGAAAACTAAAAGAATGGGCGGGAACCCTGATGCTGCCATGAGAAATAGCCAGGGAAAGAAAATTACGGTAAGTTTGTCATAAATTTTCTCTATTCCTGGCTAATCATGGCAGCATCACTTATGGGTGATAAGCTCACAGAATTATAGGGTGGGAATAATAAACCGAGAAAATACACTAAACTGATTCATATGCAGCAAAGAAAAGTTTAAATCAATGGGCTAAAGAAACCGTAGACAGGTCACTCTTCCCAAACGAGGTGGAAGGAGAATCCACATCTAGTTTGTAGTGCTTCAAGAACGTCTTCGGAGAAGACCAGGTGGCTGCTCTGCAAATATCGTATGGAACCTCTGCCCAATTAGCCCATGAATTTGACAAAGCTCTAGTAGAGTGAGTTCTTATCTCCCTTGGAGGTGATCGACCTTTAGAGATATATGCCTTCCTGATTACCAGTGAAATCCAACGTTTAATGTAGATAAAGAAGCCGCCTCACCTCTCCTGGCTCCCAACGGCAAAACGAAGAGTTGGTCAGTTTTACGGAAAGACTCAGAACACTTAAGGTACGCAGACAGGCAGTTCATGACATCCAAACGTTGCCATCTAACCTCCTCTTGCGAAGAAGGATTGGGGTAGAACGATGGAAGAACCACTTCTTGAGGGAGATGAAACTGAGAGACCACCTTAGGAAGAAACTCAGGTTTTGGTTTCAGACACACCCTATCCTGATAGAATTGTAGACAAGAAGATGAGGTAGAAAATGCTTTAATCTCTGAAATTCGTCTTGCGGAAGTAATCGCCATCAAAAACAAAGTTTTATACGTCAGGAGGGTAGCATCCAAACTCTCCAGGGGAATGAACAGATCCTCAGTAAGGTAATTGAGCACCAGAGGAAGGTCCCAAGGAGGGGTAGTAGATCTGGAAGAAGGTCTCAACCTGAAGGCTGCCTTGAAGAACCTGGAGATCAAAGGATCCGAAGTCCATGAGATGTTGCACAAAGCTGAAAGCGCCAAAGACTGAACTTTAAGAGTGCAGAGGCTAAGGCCCTTATCCAGACCCTCTTGCAGGAACTCCAAGATCTCAGTATTGTGAGGATGCAGAAAGTCAACATTGTTGGTCGAAGCCCATTTCCGGAACACATCCCAGATCCTATGGTAGCATGCGGAAGTAGAAGCTTTCCTTGATTGCAAAAGGGTATTGACCACTGCTTCTGAGAGACCTAGTAGTTGAAGTCTTTCTTTTTCAAGACCCATACTCCCAATTTGAAGCGTTCCGGATGAGGATGGAATACTGGGCCCTGCGTGAGCAGATCCTCCATAACAGGGAGAGGCCAAGGCTGTTCTTGGCTCATCATAGTCAATAGGGGGAACCACGGCCTCCGAGGCCAAATCGGAATTATGGCAATAACCTACTTGCCTTCCGACCAAACCTTCCACAGGAACCTGGGTATCATGGGTGGGGGAGGGAACGCATACCCCAGATTGAATGACCAAGGAAGAGAGAGAGCCCAGTGCCTGACTGTCCGGGTGGAGGGAGAAGTAATTCTCCACCTGATGATTCTGGGAGGATGCCATCAGGTCGATCTGGGGCATGCCCCACCGATGGGCAATCCCTGCAAAGATTGCCGGGTGAAGTCTCCATTCTCCCGGAAGAATTTCCTTCCTGCTGAGGAAGTCTGCAGTCACGTTCTCCGAACCTGGAACATAGATCGCCTTCAGACCCTGGAGATTGGTCATGGCTATCGTCATCAAGGGAGCTAGCTCCTTCAAGAGCAATCTGCTTCTTCTGCCACCTTGGTTGTTCACATATGAAGCAACCGCTCGGTTGTCTGTTTTGATCAGTATCCAAGAATTTTTGATCCTTGGTAGGAACACCAAGATGGCCTTGGAAACCGCTCTCAGTTCTCTTAAATTTGAGTGTAGCCGACTCTCTTCTCGGGTCCACTTCTCTTGAGTCCATACAGAACTGAAGTGGGCACCCCATCCAAAAGAACTGGCATCTGTTGTAATAACCTTCCAAGGGGGCTCTTCCAACGGAAAGCCTGTTGTCAGATTCTTCTCGCTCTTCCACCAGTTCAACCCCTTCCTCACAGGCAGGGGTAGAGAGATCCTCTGCTCTCAATCTGTTTCCACTCTGTTGAACTGGAGAAGGAAGCAATTCTGGACCGTACGGAACTTCCACTGGGCCCACTTTACCAACCCTATTGTTGATGTCAAGGAACCCAGGAGACTCATGACTTCTCTCGCCGAGGCAGACTCGAGATCTTGTAGCTTCCGTACTTTGTCTCTGATATTTGTGACCCTTTCTGGAGACAGGAACACATGGGCAGACATGGTGTTTATCACTGCTCCGAGGAATACGATAGTTTGTGAAGGAATCAGGGAGCTTTTCTCTACGTTCAGAAGCCAACCATGGTCGTGAAGAATGGTCATTGCCACTGACGTATGCTGAGCTACTATCCTTTGAGATGTTCCCAAAATAAGGATGTCGTCCAAGTAATGGAAGATCTCGATACCTTTTTCCCTTATGAAGGCTATCAAAGTGACAAGAACTTTTGATAATGTTCTTGGCGCCAGACTGAGGCCAAACAGTAGTACCTGGAACTGAAAGTGCCTTCCTAGCGCCCAAAACCTGAGAAACTGCATATGATCTTGATTTATAGGGATATGGTAGTAGGCGTCCCTCAAGTCTATGGAGGTTATCCAGTCTCCTCTTTTGACACACTTCTAGATGGTCCTTAAAGATTCCATTTTGAATGTTCTTATATCGAGCATGGAGTTTACGCCTTTCAAGTTTAAGATGAGACGCCACTTTCCCTGGGGTTTCGGGGCCAAGAACACTGTGGAGTAAACCCCCAGGAACCTTTCCTGTCTTGGAACTTCTTCCACCACTTTCTGCTCCAGAGGAGTAGAAATGCAGGTCCTCATGGCCCTTCGTTTGATGCCTACCGCCACCCTGGATTTCTTGAAGAATGCGGATTTTGGGTGAGAGGAAAATTCTATCCTGTAACCTTCCCTTATGATGGATGTGACCCATACGTCTGAAATATTGTTGGCCCACACGGGGTAGAAGAACTTCAGTCTTCCTCCCACAGTCCCCGAACGGGCCTGAAGACCTTCA